AATCCACTCACCTCAGCCTCCCAAGGCTCGGGATTACAGGCTGAGCCACCGAGCCCAGCTCTAATTCTTTGATTTTTGTAGAGACGAGGTCCCGCTAGGTTGCCCAGGCTGGTCTCCAACCCCCAGGCTCAGGCAAGCCTCCCACCTCGGCCTCCAAAAGCGCTGGGATGACAGGCGTGCGCCACCATGCCCTGCCCAAATCCCACCTTTGGCAAGTCCTGAGTGCGCTGGACTCCCCCAACCCACCCGACTGGCCAAGCCCAAGGCCAGGGCCGGGGTTCAGGCCACCACCCCAGGACCTTCTGTCTCGACAGGCCCGGCCCCTCCTCAGGGCACCTGTTGATGTCCCCAAAGCTAAAGCTCATGGGGACCACGCCCCTCACGAACCCGAAGCCCTCAGGGGCTCTCTGGGGCCCCCGAGTCCTCAAGAGGCCCTGCCCACCTCCTGGGGACGCGGCCCACCAAGCGACCGCCCCCTCTGCCGGCCCTCAGCCTGTCCTTGTCCTCGCCGGAGGACCTCTGCCCACACGCGAAACACGCCTCCTCTGCCCTTCCTGCCTGCCCGACCCCTATTCACCTGCAGCTCAGACACCCCCTCCTCCAGGAAGCCTTCCCTGACCCTGCCCGCTACAAGCCTGGGGTCCCGCAGCCACGGAACTCACAGGGAGTAAACCCAGGCAGCTTGAGAGTCGGGGGCTCCCGAGCCATAGACATCCAGGTGTAGACCAGGCGGCTGCACCCCGTAGCTCTACGGCCCGGAGAAAGATACTAAATACGCCCGTGCCTCAGTTTCCCGATCTGTAACGTGACCATAAGTTCCGCTACCCAGGGCTGCAGAGAGGATTAGATGAAGCCGCATGGGTAAAGCGTTTGCGCGAGAAGCCGTCACGGTCATTGTCACCGTTATCACACGACCCCCCACACCCCAACCTGCCCGCTCACCCGCCCAGACCCAGCAGGTCCACCCTCTCCGCCCAGAGAGAGCCTCTTATAAGCCACGCCCCGGATGTCCCGCCTCCAGCAGCTCGGAAGTCCTCGCTTATTGGCCTCCCCAAACCATCATGGCGGCGCGCGAACCAACTTCAAGCGCCTGCCCTCTCTCAGCCAATCAAAATAAAGATCTTCTGGGTCCCGCCTCTTCCCGCAGGGCCTCTGACCAATCAGAACACACCCTGGAGAGTCCCCACGGAAAAGGGGAAGCCGCTCGGCCCAATGGCAGCGTCCCAGAGTGTAGGCTCCGCCTTCCGGTGGTCCGG